ATGGACGGCATCGAGGACTGGGACGACGACGAGCACTTTGACCCGGCCAGCGACTACCTCGGTGACAACTGCGCCGAGATGAAGCGCTACCGCGCCCAGCTGGCCGCCAAACGCGAGGCCAAGCGGGCCATGCAGCGGCGGCAGTCGTCGTCGATGGCGGCGCCGACGCAGCAGCAGCAGCAGCAGCAGCGGTCGCGGGACGAGCTCGAGGAGCAGGACCTTGGCGAAGCGCCCATGGACCGCGACCTGATCAGCGGCCGCATCGGACCCGCGGACGAGGACGAGCTGTGCCGCCAGGACCGCGAGGGACAGGCCCACTTCTACCACGACGACGTCGCCAGCGCACGGCGCGGGCAACAAGCTGCCGGAGCGCAGCGGCAAGGAGGGAGCGGAGACAGCGAGGACAGCGAGGACGGCAAATGGCCGCGGCTGCGCGACTGGGTCGAGGGCAAGCAGCTCGTCCTCGAGTACCAGGAGAGCTACTCGGACGATCCCAAGGTGCAGACCATCAAGCTGACCGACGACGAGGCCGAGTCGCTCGCCGAGGCCGAGAGCCCGGCCCACCAGTGGCTGCAGCGCAACAAGGCCGAGGTGGGCGAGATCCTCGGCAGCGAAAAGCACCACCAGTGGAGCCCGGCCGAGTCGGCGCATCGGCTCATGGAGCACGGCGTGCCCAAGTTCTGGAGCAAGCGGAGGCGGGGCTCCACTGGAGGGGCGAGCGTCCAGTCGGGGCGCGACGAGGGCGGCCAAGCGCCCTGCAAGACCCTCGACGACATCCACGACCGGGTCGACCAGCGGCGCGAGGGCCGCGAGAGGGACGCAGACGTGCAGCCGCAGCAGCGTCGATACGTGGCCGCCACCGAACCCGAGGCCGAATCGCCCGCCGAGCGCGACGAGCGGGCAGCCCTGCTCTTTGGCGCCATGACGTGGGCGCGCGACAACCGGGACCACGACGAGCCCACCGCTGCCGTCGCCGCCCCGAGCCGGGGCAAGATGGCGTCGGTCGAAGAGGCCGACGAGCCGCCGAGCACGCCCCTCGGCCGTGGCGATGCGGTCCCGCGCATGGAGACGCTGCGCGACCCTTCGACGAGCCGGCGATCGTCGACGAGCTCAGGCGGGGGCCGAGGCTCATCGCAGCAGCAGCAGCAGCATCCGCCGCCAGCGGCGTCGCACGTGTCGGGCGGTGCGCACGGCTCGAAGCGCTTCTCGCTGCGCAAAAAGGTGCTGAGCGGGCAGATTGGCCTGTCGGGCCGCCGGCGGCGCGACAAGGCCGCTGCCGACGACGTCGACGACGAGGAAGAAGACGAGAGCCTGGCCGACGGCTCCAAGACGCCCACGGGATCGGCGTCGGTCGCCTCTGCGCCAGCGGCCACCGGTGGCATGGGCGCTGCGTCGCGGCCGACGGTCGTCATCTCGGCACCCCTGGACGGGCCATCTTTGAGCTCGACGTCGCCCGTCAGGGAGCGGAGGGCCTTTCGCAAGGTGGGGCAGTGCCCGAGCACGTGCTCCCCCGACGGCGGCGGCGGCGACGCGGACGGCGGAAAGGACAAGGCCAAGGCGAGGAGCCCGGCCAAGGAGAAATTCTTCCCGCGAAGCTCGAGTGCGGGCGCGGGCCTGTCAGAGCACGACCGGTCGCTGCGGTCCGTCGCGCGCACCGACACCGACGACAGCGGGCGGCTGTCTGTGCGCAGCGCCGTGGCACCGTCGGCAGGGTCGTCGACGACCAGCACCACCAGCACCACCACCACCACCACCACCAGGACGACGGCGAGCGGCAGGGCGCACAACCGGCACTCGAGCATCCAGTGGCTCGACGTGGCCGACGGCACGCACGACCACCGCCCGCTGCGGCACAACAGCGACGACTCTGCCGGTGCCGGAGAGACGCGGCGGACGCGCACGCACAGCTCGTCGACGTCGTTTTCCAACGGCCCCACGTCGTCGTCGTCGTCGACGGTGACGGACGAGGTCGAGCAGGACGGCGGCGGCGGCGGCGGCGGCGGCGGCGGCGGAGGAGGAGGAGGAGACCTGGGCAACCTGGCCGAGCGGGGCAGGAACCGGCTGGTCAACTTCTTTTCGACGTTTACCGCGCCAAAGGGCGAGGGGATGGGTAACCCGGGGCCCAGCTCGCACCCGCACCTGTTTTCCGGCCATGGCGGCGATGACGATGACGATGACGGCGACGGCGACGGCGACGCGGATGGGGATGGTGACCGGCCTCTGGAGAGGGGACCGGCAGGGCACGAGGTGAGGCATGCCAACTCGGCCCCGCCGCCCGGTAGCTCCGGCTCCGGCGGAGGAGGAGGAGGGGGGTTGAGGGTCATGATTGATATGCCGGGCGACGACGATCCGCCGGTACCTGCTGGGTCCCGGTCGTGAGTAGTGACCTTGGCTCCAGCTGGGCGACGGGGCGGCTCGTCGATGCGAAGCCAAGCCGAGAGAGGGAGGGGGACGTGTAGTAACCCGCCCGTCATCGTAGACGATTGATGTTCATGGCACCGCAATCGCAATCGCAATCGCAATCGCAATCGTAATCGGATCGCATGCCACGCCGTCGTCGTCGTTGCACTGTACTGCCTGGCCGTGCTCCTCCTAGCCTTGGCCCCTACCCCTGCCCCTGCCCCTGCCCCTGCCCCTGTTCTTGGGGTCCCAGTCAAGGTCTCGCTCGTTGTAGGCAGCCGTCGAAAGGGCAGGGCAGGGCAGGGCAGGGCCAGGGTGCTGCAAAGGTAGGGTACTCGTGTGCTACCTTTCGCCCAGCGCGATGGGACGTGAACCCGAACCTGAACCCGAACTTGTTCGAGTATGTCAGTCGAGAGCGGGAGCGGGTCGACCGCAGCCCAGCCTCCTCTCCCCTCCTCTGTGCCACAGTGCGGGGAGGCCGAAAAAAGAACAGGAAAAAAAGATGAAAACCCCCGCCAAGGAGCGCGGGGAGAAAAGGTGAGGCGCCTCGCATGCTTGCGAGGGCACACGATGATATGTGCGACAACCACAGGATTCGAACCTGTGCAGGCAGAGCCTATACGTTTCCTCCCCCAGAGGGGGGTCGAACCACGCGGGCGTTTTAGTTCGAGACGTACTCCTTGACCACTCGGACAGATTGCCTCGTCATGTCACGAGCTCGAAATGGTGGCTATAGGAGGTGTGCGGGAGGTGGTGGTGGGTACGGGGACGCTACGTCACGGAGCTGTGCGCAGAGGCAGGGTCCAGGGATGACTACTTGGGTGGCGCAGGGAGGCATGAGGGCGCTTGTCAGCCTGCCTCGCCTTGCCTGCCTAGCCTGCCTAGCCTGCGTCCGACGCGGCGCTCGGTCGTGGATGGACTGCCCGCGTTGCTTGCTCTTGCTTGCTTCCTGGCCTCTTCCATCGTCGCAGGCCAGGAACGCTGCAGCCGCGCCGCTCGGTCTCAGAGAGAGAGGGAGAGAGGGGGAGGCAGCTGTCAGCGGCCGGGCTCGCGGTCGTGGCGCCTGCCTGCCCGCTCGTCCATCGATGGACCGACCTCGACTTGGCTTGCAGGCCTCCTCGCTCCTCACCTTGCCTGCCCCGCCCCCCGCCGTTGTATCGACTCGACTCGACTCCGCACCACCACCATCGTCGTCGCACCCCCCAAACTGACCCTCCGCACCCCCCCAACCCCAACCACAACCACAACCACAGCCACTCGCCAGCACCACCGCCCGCCCACAGCGACACCATGTCGAGCAGCGAGGAAAAGTTCGAGGGCGTCATCACGGCCTATCCCGTCGAGTCGATCGAGAAGCAGCAGCAGCACGGCGGACCGGGTCTCGACAGCGAGGTGAGCATCCCTCTTGCCGCCCGTGTCCCCCCTTCGGAAAAGATCGCACGTGCTGCTCCTTCCTCGACAAGGCTGACGACGACCCCTGCCCCCCCGATTTCCTCTGCTCCTGCCTCCCACTCTCCCCACCGCCGTCCGAACCCGCTTCCACGCAGATGCGGGCCAAGGCCGAGTTCACAAAGCAAGAGTTCTGGGGCGACGACGGCAAGCCCTACCTGCGCGAGTACCGCGGTTCGGGCAAGCTCGAGGGCAAAAAGGCCCTCATCACCGGCGGCGACTCTGGTACGTGGCGCGGCGCACGGCGGCGGGCGGTGCAGCGAGCGGCATCAGCGAGACGGACAGGCTCTAGGCGGTGGCGGATGGACGGACGGACCGATAGGCTGACACGGGCGTCCTCGACGCGCTTTCCCCTCTGCGATCGCATCCGCTGCTGCAGGTATCGGTCGCTCGGTCGCTGTCCTGTTTGCGCGCGAAGGGTGAGTTGCCTGCCGGTCAGAGGCTGGCACCCTCGAGGGCCTGATCTGACACTCGGGCGTCCTCCCTCTTCGACCTGCTCCGGATCCCTTCAGAGCGGACGTGTCGTTCACCTACTTGCCCGAAGAGGAGTCGGTACGTTTGAAGCGCCGCAAGCTCGGATCGCCACCTGCTCCCCTTGCTGACCTCCCCAGCCGCACTCACTCTGCCTTGCCGCCCCGCTGCTGCCCAACGTCGGACACGACAGGACGCCAAAGAGACGATCGCGCTCGTCGAGCAGGCGGGCCGCAAGGCGCACGGCATGGCCGTCGACCTGCAGGACGAGGCCAACTGGACCGGCATCGTCGATGGTGCGTCGCCCTCTCTCTTGCCCCCGCAACCCTCCCCACTCGTCCGACGATGACTGACCAGCCCCGCTCCCCTTGCCCTACCACCCCTGTCACTCCGCCTCGGCGACCCGCAGAACACTTCAAGGTGTTTGGAAAGCTCGACGTCCTCGTCCCCAACGCCGCGCGCCAGGTCATGTACGAAGACATCGGCGACCTGCCCGTCGAAAACATCAAGAAGACCATCAACCGTGAGCACAGCGCCGCGCCGTTCCAAGACCGACCACAAGGCAATCGACGGCGATCGAACCTGACTTCCGACGTCACCCTCTGTGCCTCTCCCGTCACACTCATCCGATGTTGACCCTTCCCTCCCCCTCGCCCCGCAGTCAACCTGATCTCGCTCATGGCCGTGGCCAAGTACGCCATCCCCAAGATGAAGCGCGGCTCCTCGGTCATTTTTTCCGCCAGCGTCGCGGCCAACATGGGCAACCCGATGTTGCTGGACTACAGGTGCGTCGTCCGTCATCGTCGTCGTCGCAGCAGAGCCTCCTTTCGGTCCAGCCTGGTACGGTCCGACTGACAGGGAGACTCTGGCCTTTTCCTTTCCGCTACGCTGCACGTCCGGCAGCGCCACCAAGGGCGCCATCGTCACGTTTACGCGCGCGCTCGCGCAGCAGGTCGGTCCCAAGGGCATCCGTGTCAACTGCGTCAACCCAGGTTCGTGACGTTGTGCTGCTTCGCCCGCATCCGATGCACGCGTCGCTGCGACATGGCGAGGCTGACTGAGGCTGGCTCGCTTCTGGACCTCCCCACCCTACTCTCCCTTCGCTAGGCATCATTTACACGCCCCTCCAGCCCGCCAGCAACCCACCGGACAACATGGACTGTGCGTATCCGCCCGGACGCGTGCGCCCGCCTCGACACTGCGTCGTCGGCCCTGCGCCCCCCGCTGCCCTCCGTCGCACCGGTACTGACACGCGAGCTGCGTCTCTCTTGCCCCATCCCCTCTTTCTACGACGGCGGATGCGGCTGCGACAGCGCTGGGAAAGGACCAGGGCCCGCTGCGCCGACCTGCCCAGCCCATCGAGGTGGCCACGTCGTACGTCTTCCTCGCCGGGCCCGACGGCAGCTTCTTTACCGGCCAGCACCTCCAGCCCGACGGCGGCATGCGTCCCGAGGCCTAAGAGCGGCCCGACCGGCCATCGATCGCGCTGCCACCTCTCGCTGCTGTACGCGGACGCCGCACCCGTCGGCTCCTCTGCCCATCGAGACCCTCCAACGCACAGCAGCATGCAGGGATAAAACGAGCGAGTGATGCTGATGTCACAGCCGCCGGGGGGACGGCAGAGAACAAAAGGGGGACCGGATAGGTCTGCATCGCATTTCTACGGCATCGGTCCGTCGTCGAGTCCGAGTCTAAAGGTGGGGTCCAGGAGCGCTCCCCCGCCACAGTTCTAGAAGTCAAAGTAGCCGGCCAGCCTCATGACGCCGTTCGGGTCGTACTTGCGCTTGACCTGTCGCAGGCGGCCGAGGTTGGGCCCAAAGATTTTCTCGACGGGCGTGTCGGCGATGAGGTAGTTGGGGTAGAGCCAGAGGTCGTCGACCTTTTGGCCCTCTGCGCGCGCCTGGTCGGCGAGGACGCGGGCCGACTCCTTCATGGCGCTGTGCCAGAAGGCGTCGTCGGCCGGGTTGTCCCAGGCTGCGTAGAGGTTGAGGGGCAGGGCGTCGTTGGAGTGGGGCCAGGCGGCGTCCTTTGTCTTGTCCTTGAACGAGAGAAAGGGCTCGATGTCGTACGACACGAGCGTCTGGGAGCGCAGCAGGCCCTTTTTGCCCCAGAAGAGGGTCTGGTTCTGGATCTGGTCGAGGAGGGGCTTCGAGTAGCGCTGGAACATGACTGAGTGGAAGAGGCCGCGGTGGCCCGCCTGGAGGCCCGAGGGGACGCCGCTGATGGCGTCGTTGAACGACTGCGTCTTGAAGTCGCCCAGCAGCTTCTGCGAGGGCACCTTGTCAAACGCGGCGAAGGGGTTGGTCGAGCCCGGATCGCCGTCGTAGATGGCCAGCAGGATGGCTCCCGGCCCGACGAGGCCGACGTGGTTGAGCGTCGTGATGACCTGGGCCTTGGGGTCCTTGTTGTTCTCGGAGAAGTCGTAGGTGGCGTTGACGAGGGCGGGCAGCTGGTCGACCGAGTAGATGCGCGTGCCGCCGTAGATTTTGGCCGACTGGGCGTAGGCCTTGAGGCGGTAGCGGTAGACGATGCCAAACTGGTTGCCGCCGCCGCGGATGGCCCAGAAGAGGTCCGGGTGCTGGGTCTCGCTGGCCGTGGCGAGGGTGCCGTCGGGCAGCACCATGTCGGCCTGGATGAGGGTGTCGCCCGTCAGGCCGTGCTGGTTGGTGAGCCAGCTGTAGCCGCCGCCGCCCGTGATGAAGCCGCCGACGCCGACGCCAGGCACGCGCCCGCCGACGACGTTGAGGCCCGTCCCGTCGAGCTGCTTGTACACCTCGTCCCACTTTTTGCCGCCGCCCAGGTCGACGTAGCTGCGGTCCGCGGCCACGCTCACCTCGTCGAAGCCGCGCAGCGTAATGTGGATGCCCTTGGTCGACGAGAAGCCCTGGTTGCTCGCGTGGCCGCCGCTCGAGACGGCGAAGCGCACGCGCTGCTCGCCGACGAGCTTGACGGCCGCCGCCAGGTCCTCGGCCGTCTTGGGCCGGTAGACGCACGCCGACGGCTGCGCCGAGCTCGCCATGTAGTGCGACTTGCCGTCGCCGTACTCGAACGAGAGCGGGAAAAAGACCTGGCTCCGCTTGTCCTTCTTGTCGAGCTTGTCGAGGTCCTTGCACGCCGCCAGCTCCGTCGCGTTGACAAAGCGGCGCACCAGCCTCGCGTCGTCGAGCTCGGAGCCCACCTGGTCGAGGGTGCGGCCGAGCGGGGCATCGTGCACGACGTCGCTGTCCAGAGGCGAGGGCGAAGAGAGGGTCGACGTGGCAAGCGGGATCGCGGCTGCGCACACGAGCAGCGTCACGAGGAGCGCACGCAGCGTCCTGTTGAGCTCGGCCATGGTGGGCGGCGGGGAGGATGCGAAGGGAGTGTTCCAAAGCAGGGTCGTCGGGAGAGAGAAAGAGAGAGAGAGAGAGGAGGGAGAGAGAAAGGATCGTGGGAGGGGGGGTTGGCTGGGGAGGGGGAGCTGATGGGCGGGCCAGGAGAGGCAGAGGACAAAGGTGCCCCGCCGCCTTCTTATAGGTCCCCCGAGCCGGGAGCGTATGTATGTACATACAAGTAGCAGCTTGTCGAAGAGCAAGCAGCCGAGCACCCGCCCATGGAAGCGGGGTCCGCTGTAGACCGCACGTACCGCTGATGGGCAGCGGCACCTAGACCTGTCTCCGCGGTGTCCGTGAGATTAGACAGAGGCCGGGGACAGACGAGGATGCTCGCGCGACCTCGGTTGGGCGGGGCGGGCAGCGTGTACGGCCCCAATCTGATTGTCCTGTCATTACTGCTTGGGCACGAGCACCAGGGGCCCTCGATAGACTGCCGATCCACCGACACGGGTCTACTTTGGGCTGGCTGCGTTTGTTCAAGTCCGCCTCAGGCGAGGATGACGATGAAGTGGGTCCGGGATGCGAAGGTCCGTTACGTCTCCGACGTCGGCAGGATGACAAGACAGAAAGAGAAAGAGAGAGAGAGAGAGCCGCCCCACTTGACGGTTGGCATGGTGGGGGTGGTTTGGCGCGGCATCCCGGATCCACAAGGTTGCTGCGCCGCCGCTGGTGCGCTAGTGGCAAGAAGAGAGCTAAGGGTGCGGAGCATGCTGGTTGCTGTGCTGCCACCGTGACGGTCAGCGCGCGGTTGGCGGCTCTGGCTCGCACCGCCGGTCGACTTGAACGAGAAAGAGGCCAGAAGGGCCGTTGGACCGGACTGGTAGGCATCGCTGGTGAGTACCTACACGGGCGCCGGCGTGTTGACGGTGAGCAGCCTCGGTCGTTCTCGTCTGATGGCCTCGCATCACTTGGCGTCGATGTGCCGTGCCTTGCCTTGCCCTGCCCTGCCCTGCCTTGGCTTGCCTGTCTCAATCTCTGCCCGCACCGATGCGGTCTGAACACCGTATCGCTGCGCTTCCATTGCGTCTGTCTGTGGCTCCTGTGCGGCAGGCCAAGCAAGAGGACGACGACGAGCGCCTAGAGCGGACGAGAAGCGAGGCCGATGGCGGCTACGCTACCCTACCCTACTGTACCGTAGGCCAGGCAAGGCTAGGTAGGGGTCCGCTCGTTTCAGCACGCATCTCGTGTGCGTGCGTTGGATCCGCGCTTGCTCACATCGCAGCCGAGAGACGAGCTGGGCTAGGCTATGGTTAGGCTGGCGTCGAAGCAGCCGGCCAACAGCCAAGTGCCAGCAGCCGACGGCAGGCGAGCGCCGATCAAAGAGTGCCGTACGTCTCAGCCGGCCAAACAAGCTAAGGCCCCAAGCCGCAACCATTTCGCAAGCAGTACGTCGGTGGCGCGCCGTCTTATGTGGTACCGGTACGAGCCATCGAGCTGTCGCCCAACACGCTAGACGCCGTCGTACATACAATAGTAGTAACTGTGTACATGCGACGACGGCCGTTGGGCCACCCACGCTCCGCTACGATGCTTGTGCGCCTCGGCCCCAACGACTTTGGTACACTCGCACCATACATCTTGTCTACTGCGCTCGCACGCTCACTCGTTCTTCTCCGCGCTGTATCGAGGCCCAATGGCACGAGTTCAGAGTCACTCACGGCAGCAGGCAGGCAGGTAGGCAGGCAGGCCGGCAGGTGTCAAAGGCGTAGGCGAGGTCCGCGGAGTCAAGATAGAGTGGGGAGCCGCCGGGCGCGTCGAGGTGCGGCTTCCATGCCCCGACGCCGACGACGACGAGGAGGGAAACACGTGAAAGACAGCTGGACTCGCGACCTGCCTCGGCTCCCTCCCTCCGCCGATCGGGGCACCAGGCGTGACGGGCACTATCAGCTCGACTGTGTATCTCGTTGACGACCCGATTGGTCCCCCCCCCTCGCATCTCTGCCCACTATCCCGTCGACCCTTGAGCGGGACGAGGTTCCATACGGTATCCGATACCCCTCCCCCCTCTTTCTGCGTGAACGGTTCGCTACAATGGCGAGCGGGCTGAGAAACCGAGTCTAACATCATCATGCTCGTACGTACGTACGTACGTATGTGCGTCTGCGCTATGGTATGCTCGGCGGGCGTCGACCTTGAGCTTACATAGCGCAGTGCCGCTCCAGGGCGACGAGGTCAGGCGCTCACGGACCTGGCTCGGTGTCGTTGCGGCTGGCACGAGCACCGGCGGCGTTTGGCTCGATGGTCCTCATCGCTGCCGGACAGGTGCGACCTGCCGCGCCCAAACCATCGCTGCGCAGTCCGGGTGGATGAGCGGCTGATGGCGCCGCATGCTCAAGGTCCCACGGCCCAAACGGTGCAGGCAGAGCGGCGGGCTATGCGCTCGTATGTCCTCAAGTCGTAGCCAGCAAGGCCACGAGCCCGCAAAACCGTCCTCGCCAGCATTCCTATTGGCAAAAATTTACCGTGCCCACACAACACGCCAAGGAGCGCAAACGCGCCGCCCAAAGCGCCTCGGCGCGCCAGTGTCGGCCGCAGCGACCTATCCTTGGTGCCAGCAGTTTTCGAGGAGCGCATTCTCACTGCCTTGAACCGCCGTCCCTTTGTGCCTGATGACCCAACGTCGCCCGTCACCGCCAATACGTTCGGTGGCATGCAACGGAACGGCTACGAGCACAGCATCGCGCCTCCACCGAAATGAGGCTATGCTCAACAAGCGCGGAAGTAGGCCTGCTTTGACTGATCCACCCTGCGGTCCGGTCCGAGCATGCTTTGTGTGCAGGGCAGATTCTGGAGACATGGTCCGGAGCAAGCTGGTGCCTGACCTACTGTCCTTTCCTGGGCAAAGGGCTGGTAGACGCACATTTGTACGGCGACGACGGTAGCGCACGAGGACAAACGAGGATTCCACAATGACGAGCGAGGCAGCAACGACGACTCTAGAATGACCCCGGCAGGACAAAGGCCAAGGCGACCGACCAAAGCCTAGGGCGAAGAGAAGTCGGCCTCGGCGGCAACGGTGGCGATTTCATGCTGGTAGTGCTCTTCAAAGTCGTGGCGCCGCGGCGACCATCCGAGGGCGCGCGCGCGGTCGTCACGGGCGCGGGCGTTGGAGCTGAAGCCGAGCCGGATGAGCTGGGGCGTGCCAAAGCCAAGGTGTCGGGCGAACCAATCGGCCGATTCGCTCCTCACCTCGGGCGTCTTGATCAGCCCGCGCGCGTGCAGCTGCGCGCCAATCGCCCTCGACACGTCCGACCACGTGTGCTCGCCGTCCTGGACAAAATAGTAGCCCTCTCGCCTGCCGTGGCCGACGCTGGCGTCGTCGTCGGCGAGGATGCGGGCCAAGAGGAACGAGTAGAAGTCGGCCACGTCGTCGATGTGGATGTGGTTCCACGCCGAGAGGCCCTCGTTGATGCACACGGCCTGCCCCTGCCGGAGGGCGAGGCGGGTGAGGTGCGGGATCTGCTGCGAGATGGTGGCGAACCACCCGCTGCCCTTGCCGTAGATGGTCGGGGGCACGACAATGTAGCTGCGCACGCCGAGCGCGGCGGCCGTATCGACGACGGCGACGTCGGTGATGCGCTGCGAGTACGGCTCCGGGTGGCCGGCCTCGAAGGCGTACAGGTCGTCGTCGACGTCTGAAAAGATGCGCTCGTCGAGCCTGCGGCCCTCGGCGTGGTCGCCCAGGATCGAGGTGCCCGAGGTATGGACGATCGAGGCGTTGGAGCCAGCGGGGCGGCTGCGCCGAGAGAGGCCGCGGATCAGCGCCTTGGCCGACTCGGGATGGCTGGCCGAGGCCGTGTTGACGACGATATCGTACTGCGATGCCACGTCCTCGATGGTGGCGAGGTCGTCGAGGCCGTCGAATAGGTGGGCCTTGACCCCGCGCGACTGGAAGGTGTCGAGGGCGGCCTTGTTGCGCACCAGTACGCCGTACTCGGCGACGGCGGCGTGGGCGTCGCGCAGCAGCGTGGTGAGGATCGAGCCGCCGATGTAGCCTGTTGCGCCCGTGACGAGTAGCTTGGTCATGGTGTTGATGAGGGGCCGAAAGATGGTCGGAGAGAGGCGGGATGAGCGAGGAGGGAGCGACGACGAGGCGAGGGAGTCTGTCCGGCAGCCGCGGTTTATACGCCCTTCGGACGCTCCCGAGCGGCTGGTGGTGGTCGCATCAGGATTGCTTGACGTGCTCGGGATGCGTTCGGAACAGCCCGAACTCGGGCGCGGTAGGTGTCTGCGAGCATGGCGTGCTCGTCGTTTCGTCCGCTCTGCGCCTGCTGCGGTGGAGGAGGTCGGGATGGCATGGTGGATGCGACACAAGCCCTGGAACCGCCGCTGGCTCGCTCCGTTTGGCTGGCCCGCTCCACTTAGCAGGAGCTCGCGAACGGCTCTCGGCCAATTGGAACGCCGAGGTGTCGGCCACGCAATTGCCCGATTGACAAGCCCCAATCTCCGGACGGGCGTCGAGAGGCGGGCTGCCAGAAGACACATACAGCGAGGCCGACCAAACGAGCCTCAGCGCAGAGCCAAGGCAGGCTGGACTCGCCGTCGAAGGCTGGCCTCTGGGCTCGTCGCAGGAGCTCATCTGGCTTGGTGGGCAGCCTTGGTCGGCGCAGGCAGGGAGATGAAGGGCGCAGCAGGGGTGGCGGGGCACCGAGGCCAGGATCGACGCCAACAAGATTGGCTTGGCTTGGCCTGGCCTTGATCTTCTTGGTTCGTTGCATGCTTGCTGTCTGGTCATCTGCGGCGCTGTTGCAGTCACTACTACCCTGGTGCTGATGCCGCTGCCGCTCACGCTTCTGGCTCCGAGGTAAGGCTCCTGCCGGAGGGTCCCACGACGGCGAGCAGGCGAGGCGAGGGAGAGAGGAGGCCAGCTTGACTCGCCATCCCCCGGCCACCTTGTACTTCTCGCCTCGTCTCGCCTCGCCTCGCCGACCTTGGGCCCGCTCCGACACCTTGTTTGGCTCGCCAGGGCGCTTGGTCGAGGAACGCGGCACATGTAGATTAGCACTAGCCTCGCAGGCAGGACCTTGGACCTTGTCCGCCAGCTCTGGTGCCTCGGAAGCGAGCCGTGTCGGCTTCGCCCGTCCGATTCGAGGGTCCCGAGTCGGAAGAAGGCTAGGTAGCCCTCGCCGCCCTCCTCGGCTTAGCCGGGCCTTCTCGCCGTGTCTCCCAACTCCTCGCCTTGTCTTGCCTCCCTGTCGTAGGATCAGCGTTCGTTGTCCCGGCCAGCGATCGAGGCCGTTGGAATCGGAAGCGTCCGCCACTTAGCGGAGCAGGCCGGGCTGCGGACGCATCAGAAGACGTCGGGATTACCTGCGAGCCTGTGTTCGTGCCCACCGGCGGGGACGCCGGAACGAGGGAGGGTGCTCGAGTCAGAGCCTCGGCTCTCCCTTCCAAGACCACCGATCTTGGTTGTTCGCCTACCTGCGTGCACGACCGAGCTTGAGGCAGGCCAGACTCAAGCTTCCCTGCACTGAACTTGGCTGTCCCGCCCTGCCTGTGCGAGCCTGTGACAGCCTCGGCCAGTCTCGCTCGTGTCTGTGGGACAGACAGACAGACAGACGATGCACACAGATACAAGGCGCCGCTGTGCCGCCGAGCCGCTTCATTACGGCGGGCGCCCACCGGACTCGTGGCTGGGCAGCGAGGAGAGTGAAGCAGTCGGTCGTCTCCACCAGCCTGTCCATCCCGCATGCAGCGTAGCCTGATCGCCGGGCGGTGACCGCCGCCCTCGCCCCTCCCTTCCGGTGCTGGCCGCCGACGCCCACGTCCCGGCTTGCCACCTCACCAGCGCCGACTGCCCCGGATTCCGAGCTTGGGCGAGGCGAGGCGGGGCGAGGTAGGGCGAGTTAGGGCGAGGTAAGACGAGAAAGGGCGAGAAAGGGCGAAGCAGAGCGAGAGAGAGCGGTGAGGCAAAGGACAGCCCCCGAAAAAAGGGGACCTCGCGAAGCAACAAGGCTCGAGGCAGCGCGTGACGACACGATCCCCCAAGCTCTACCTCGGCCTGCCTCTCTTTCCCATCGTCCAGGACAAAGGAGGCCAGGCTTGTACCACGTCGGCCCCCCCTTTCGCAGGGCTCTGCGTAGACGGCGGCCGGTCGAGGTTCTTGTCGGCTTCCTGGGGACGGTCCTGTTGGGGCTTCGTAGGACAGCGTCGTCGCACAAGCTGCGGGGCGCCGCGGCTAGGCTTAAAGAGAGGAGCCTCGTCCGCGGTGTCCAGCAAGGACGATGCACCGTCCCGCCCTCTCGTTGTCGTTGTCGTTGTCGATCTCGCTCTCGCCCCCCGTCTTTCTCGCCACCACCATCACCATCGATCTCTTGTCTAGCCACCCACCATCTGGTCTCTGTTCGCCCTCCATTATATTGATTCCAGAGCCGCTCGGCCAGATCCGATCCCACCTTTGCGGCCCGCACCTTCGGCTCAACCGGCAAGCCCGCCTGCATCGGGGTTGATCCGGCGCTCACGGTCCTCCTTCCGCGCGCGGGCGGAGGTAGGGTTCACCCGACGCCGCACCGCGTACGACGGCCGTCGCGCGGTACGGTTCGGTACGGAACGGACACGGCACGGCACGGCCCGTTGCGTCGTTCCGACTACAGCAGGGCAGCACCAGCACCAGCAGCACCAGCAGCACCAGCAGCACCAGCAGCACCAGCAGCACCAGCAGCACCAGCAGCACCAGCAGCACCAGCAGCACCAGCAGCACCAGCAGCAGCACCAGCAGCAGCACCAGCAACAGCCTCTCTTGGCGCGGTGGCACGGTCCCTGCTCCTGCATCTCGCCGCAGCGGCCACAGCGCAACGCACAGTCACACACGCACGCACGCAGGAGGGGATTCACGGCCACGCACGTCGTTGCCGCTTCTTGCCGCTGTCACACATCACGGCGCAGCGAGGACAGAGGAGCCACTCGGTTGGTCCGACCTGCACGCCTGCGCATCCGGTGTGCGCCTTTGGTCTGCTTCCGTCCCGCCGCGCGCCGCGCCGCAGCGGATGCCGAAGCCCACCGAGCCGCGTCCGCCTCCAGCCGTGCTGAGCTCGCTTCGCTTGACTTGTGCTGGTGAGTCGACGAGGCCGGCAGTGGTCCGAAGCGGCGTTTTGCGGCCTTCTCCGTGGCGGATCGTCGACCGAGCTCGGACCGCAGCGTCGCCACCGTTCCTCTGGTCGGTTGCCAGGCAGCAAGGGGTATCTTGAAGAAGGAGGGGCGAAGACAGGCAGGCAGGAAAGGAGGGCGGATAGGCTAGGTCGATCGACAGCGAGGCTGGCTGGGTGCAACGAGGTCGGGGCTACGAGATGAGATGAGGTCAAGTCAAGTACGTGAGGGCGAGCCGGGCAAGCGGACCGAGCGACTTGGCTGGCTGGCCGCAGGGCCCACGGCTGGGCCCGTCGATTTGTGCGGCTGCACGTAGCTACGCCCTCGGAAGGTGGACAGCGCCATCGAGGATCAATTGGCCGCATCGCGCATCGGAGGCAGCGCAGCCCAGCACGGGCTGAGCGTTGGCCTGCACACCCGATCAGCAGCCGCGGTGCCTTCGGTGGCCCCCTCTGGCTGGCCTCGAGTGGCGGCTGGGCTCGGGCTCATAGAGGGCGGACGCTCGTTCCGCGCCTTCCGCAGCTGCTGCAGAGGGGGGAAAAAAGCGGCCGGGGCTGTGGGCCTCATCGCGCCTCGTCTTCATCACACCACCACCATCTCCGTCTTTGCTGCCGCCCGCCACGTACCCGCCCGGAGATGACCCTTGGCCCTTTCCGCCCCTCGCCTTGCCTCTCCCCCTGCCTCTGCCTCTGCCTCTGCACGCAGCTCGACAGGCAGAGCGGGTGCCCAGCACCACGGGCCCAGGTCGCCCGCCGCCTCGCCTTGCGGCCCGTGCTGGAGACCATTTGCTGGTCGGTTCAGAGCTGACCCGGCCCCTTCCTCGCCCCCCACTACCCGCCCCCTTCTTCTGTCTTCTTCTTTATCCCCCTCGTCGCCTCGTCATCCTCCCGCTTGGTCGCCCGCTCCCTAGCCGTCTTCTGCCCATCACCTTCTGCGACCAGCCCCTCAAAGCCAGCTTGATCGGTCCTCGCCTCGCCTCGCGCCGCCCTGCCCCGCCCCGCCCCCTTCGCTTCCTCTTGACACCACCGCATTGGGCGCCCCACACCGACACCGCTCTCGCCGCCACAACGATCGTGGACGCACCAGCAAGGAGGACCCGGCACTTGCCCTAGACGAATCCGCAACCCGGCCACCATGACCTGCGGCCAAGCAGACGACCTCATCGAACTCGCCACCGCCTCGTTCCCAAACCAGAGCCTCGAACAAGTCGCCGACGCAACCGACGCCACCGGGGGCGACCACGGACAGGGCCAAGCCTCGCAAGCGTCCACAGGCCAACGCAGAGGCCGGAGCAGCCAGACCAAGGACATCCGCCTCGCTCCCTGCACCGAAGGCGCCACGCGCCAGCCTCTCGGTGACCGCTGCAAGGATCGAATGCATCGCCACCCAGATCCAGCGGCATCGCTGCACAGGAAGACGTCGGGCACATGGCAAGGTCTGGACGAGCCCATGCCCCGTGCGTTCCACCAAGAGGCGCGTTGGGACCACGAAAAACAGCCGGACGGCGGCTACGTCGAGGACGCCATCGCATCCGAGATCGATCTCGGCGACGACACCGGCGAGGGACGGGGAGCGCCACCGGATGACGGATCACAGACCAGCGGCCGACTCGCCTTTGCTCGACGCCCGTCCAACGTCGGCATCGACAGCTACCACACGGCCGCCAGCTGCAGCACCCGCGTAGCGACGTCGCCTTGGGTCGCGAATCAGCGTGGCCCGCGGGGCGTCGGGGACCCTGGCGCGATCGGCGCTTCGCCACCCATCGGCACCAAGGACGGCCTGTACGCCCAGAGGCGGGCGCCCTCTTCCATCTACAGGCACGGTCGCAGTCACAGCGACAGCAACTTTGCCCTCTGCCTCGGCAGGACTCCGGCTGCAGGTCGACCGGGCTTCGACAAGCGTCGCTTCGCCACCTTCAACGGAGCCAGCCATCAGTCGATCTCGACGGAGACGTCCAGCACGATGGACCAAGCTCCGACTCCGAGCGTCCCTTCCCTTTTCGGCGCTGGGCATCCAGGTACGACAGGCGGTGCGGGTGCACTCGGGCTCGGAGGTCGCCTGCCTCTGACGAGGATGGACAATGTGTCGCGTCCGTCCGCTGATCTGAGGCGGCCGCTCTACTGCGCCGCCTCGCCACGCGGAGACGCCCGGAGTGGGCCTAGCTCCACTGGGAAGCGCGGTTCTGGCGAGCCCTCGCCGCCCTGCGATGACCACGACTTGCCCGGGATCTCGCAGCAGTCCGACTCGATGCTCCTTACGGCCGCGGCTCCGTCGGAAACGATGCCTTGCGCGACCGTCGACGCCAGCAGCGGCTGCAACCTGCCACCCGCCTCGAGGCAGCCGTCGGCGTCGCGGTCGTCCCTGCTTTCGATCAACAGGCCTCGATCGGCGACCATGTCGGCGCTCCCGACCGCTCCGCAGCGCGACGGGCTCTGCCTGTTGCTGAGCCCCGTCCACGAAGGGTCGCTGCATCAGCTCTCGCACACCCTCGTTCCGGGTCCGCCGCTCGCCGAGACAGAGGCCCGGAGGCTACAGGGCATCAGGCGTCTGGCCACGTTTTGCGGAGAGCCGTTGCAGCAAGAGGGTAAACGAGCCGGCACCGTTGTGGGCTCAGACCAGCAGGCGATGGATTTGCAAGCAGGCAACATTACCGACGGCGACGACACGCGCCTGGACCGCTATAGCAGCGACGACGATACCACCTTGTCCGACTCGCTCGAGCGAGCTGCCGAGGGGCTGCAAAGCGCATCCGTGTGCGGCCCGGCTTCGCCCGCATCGTCCGCCCGTGGCCGTCGACGCGACCACATTCGATCACCCTCGCTCATCTCGCTCGGTTCGACCGCAGCGCAGGCCTCGGCGGCGCCCGAGACGGACATTGTCGTGGTCGACACAACGACGGCGGCGGCGACGGCGGCGGCCATCGACGTCGAAGGTGGTGCGCAGGAGGGCGCCAGCGCGGTCGCGGTGCTGCGTGGCCTGCTGGACCATGGCGGAAGCAGGCAGAGGCGCCCGCGCTCATCGAGCGGAGCTGCGGCCTTTGCCGGCGGCGGCGAAAGTGGAGACGAAGAAGGCGGCCACGATGGTGGGCTGGACGGTGGACGGCACGACCGGCCGCCGCTGAGCAAGCGGCTCAAGTGGCGCAGCACCAGCCTCCTGCGCCTCTTGCCGACCAGAGCGGTGGGCGGTCCTAGCCACCAGGGCGGAACGGGCGCCTGAAGACGGTAGGCGCTGGGGCGCGACCGAGCGGCGCGGACGAGAATAGACGAGGGCCGGTCTCCGTCGGGCACAAAGGAGCATCAGCAGGGTAGCCAACCTGGATCCTCACCGTGCGAAGGCAGAGAACGCGAAAGGCCAAAGATGAAGCCGAGCACTGGCGCCGGCCAGTCTACACGACGGTGGCTTAGGGTGAGCCGTCGCAGCGAACCAGCCAGCTCACTATCCCAGTTGTATATGCAGCAGTAGCGGCGGCGGCCCTCTTTCTGTGTCTCAATGTCGAAGCGAGGTCGCTCGTCCGTGCGATTTCAGTGCGTGGAGCACGGGCAAGCGAGGAGGGCGGGTCAGAGGTCAGATGCGCGGAGCTCATGCCAGTGCTGCGAGGGGGGCATCGCCTCTCTGCGGTCGGTCGGTCATCGATCGTTTGAGGTCGAGCGAAGAGGGTGGTAGACATGGTTGTACGAAGTCAGCGTGAGGCCAAGGGGCAAAGGGGGATGAGGGACTTGACTGTGACTGGGATGTGAAGCCGATGCCGATGGAGCGGACGGGGGAGGAGGGGAAAGAGGGGGACGTACGCGAACTCGTCGGGGAGGAACGGGGTGCCGTTCTGGTCGAATTCGACGAGATGCGTCACTTCGACGGCTGGGCGACCGGGACACCTGTCGAGGAGGCGTGTTAGAGGGGGGGCCGAAAGACGGGGGGGGGATGAGCATGTCGAGGTTGCGCGGTTACGGAGCCCACGTCTTCTGTACGAGTAATGGGTAGCGGGGGACGTACATTCGAAACACTCTATCGAGTGGTGTGCAGACGATGCGGTTGGGCCGTTTGCGACAGTGGTACTGCACCATTTCGCTTAGCCTACACCCGTCCGTCGTCGTCGTCGTCGTGGTCGTTGTGCCCTTTGCCGTCGTCGTCGTGGAGGGGGACGACGTGGGAGGAGGAGGAGGAGCCGAGTCGCAGTGGATCTTTGAAAAGGGGACGAGGAGCGAGGAGACGAGACTCGTCGATGTCGGTGCGAGCGGGACGGTTGGGAGCGTGGGCGAGGACGAGGGCGAGGGAGAGGATGGGGGAGAAGGCGGGTCGGGGAAGTCGATAGCTGCCCTTTTGCCCGCCTTGTATCCCTGTGACATTCCGATCATGTACGTCTGCCAACGGTCGACACGAGAGGGAAGCAAGGTATGAGCTCCCCTGTCTCTTACGCTGAGCCGGTTCGGGATGGGGGGTGGACATACCGAAGAGCCGACGGCAGAAGCGAGCAGGATGAGGGTGAGGTTACTCCATCGTTGCGCTTCGCCCTTCCTACCCGTGCGCCCCCCTCCTCCTCCTCCTCCCGTGGGGCCACCGTTGGGAGAAGATGAGGGGGGAGAGCGGGGACGGTACTTGATGTCGTCGATCGAGTTGCGCGCCGGTCGCGTAGGCACGAAGCGGGTGAGCGGCGCCGGTTTCGACCCCGCACCCGCCGACGACGACGGGGGACGCGCCGTACTGTACCCGCGTACCTGGGCACGCAGCGTGGGGAGCAGTGGGGATGACATCCGAGAAGTGTGCGTGTGTCGTTTGTTGGGTACGGTGTGCGTCGGAGTGTGGCAAGTCTGGGTGGTGGTCGTGGTCGTGGTCGTGGTGGTCGTGGTCGTGGTTGGGATGGTGCAAGGGGTGCGGGGTGCGGCAAAGGCGCGGCGCTGCGGCTGACTGACCAAAGCGAAATGTGGAGCGCGCTTCGGATCCGCATCCCCCTCGGCCCCGCAGGTGCATCGTCATGTGTTGGCTTTCCTGCCTTGGGCCTCGACGAGGATTGTCCCCTTCCATCCTTCCGCTCGGGCCAACAGCGAGACGAAAGGGACCATCGCTGAGCGCTTCAGTGTGGCCTCAACGGCGACGACGGCGACACCCGGATGGTCGCGACCTCCTGCCGCTCCCTCTGCGCAACTCGATGCTGCTCAGATCGATGCTGCGCAACCCCGATGGCAACCTAGAAGCCTCGAGCGAGGCTACCTGCACCGCGGCACGAACCGACGCTCGATGAGCGTGCCCACTCGTCCCGATATCCTCTTCCTCTCTCCGCGTAGGGATCACGTTTCCAACGACGGTTACGCGAGGACCATGCAGCTCGGTCGAGCCACGCAGGCCCATCCAGCCCGGACCGGCTTCGAAGATAAACAAGACGCCTGCGGTGGCTTGGACCTTCCCGGCGCACTGCGAGCTCTCTACGCAGATCTGTAGAGCGTCAGAGGACGGTATACTGCAGTGAGCTAGTCGGGTTTTCTTCCCGCCCACCTCGCACAGGCGAAACAAGACTACCGAGTCGGTTGTCTAGTCCCGTCCCATCTTGTCGTGGTTCCGCACCCCATTCTGTTACGGGCGTCGATCATTGTTCAAGGGGCGGCGTCGACCGGCTGCACCGTGCCGCCGAGTCTACCCTAGCCTCAGTGCTATCGAGGCCTCGGCGGCTAGACTGCGCCATACAACTGCCGCTCAGCCTTGTCCTGTGCGCCTCGAGGCGCAACCCACAACGTTTACGCCACGAAACGCCTCGAAGAGCAACCCACCTGGCCCGTCTACCCACCTGGCCGAACTCCCTCGCTGCCGCTCCAGTGGATCGAGGGTCGAGATCGATGTACGGCATGGCATGGAAGAGACGGAACCTTTGTCGGGGTCGAGGCTCCGTCTCGGGGGTCGAGGATCCGCCTGCCCGGGAGCGTGAGACTGGGCGAGACAAATCCTGCAGAAGACGCGGCAGGAGAGGCGAAGGGGGCTCGTTGGCAAAAGGTACTTAAGGGGCTCGGCGATAGGGGACCAGTCTCGATCGTCCGTCACTCACCTCGTCCCATCTCCGCAGACTTCTACAACAATACAGCCAATCGCCACACGCCCCAAAGCCACTCCCGAGCCCAGTTTAGCAAATTGCGATGAAGTTTCTCACGCTGCTCGCCATCGCCGTAACGCTTTCAAGCGTCGCCCATGCCTACAGCCCCTCTCACGAAATGGAGATCAGGGATGCCACACATTGGAAAGAAGCCCCAAAGGGGAGATACCCGGGATGCGGCGATCAACAGTGCCGCATCCCCGAACCAGACCCTCGTCGCCTGAAGCCACCCTATGGTCGTCCTCCTGCCAACGGCAACTCGCCCCACGGTCTGGCGGCGAGGGGATCGGACGGGTTGGGGACGAAAGTCGCGCGAGACCTCCCCGGGAAGGTCAAGGAAGGACCTTCGGGCAACTATTCAACGGGCATTCCGCGCCCTGGTCCGCCCCGCGATCGTCCTCCTGCCGAAAGCATCATCTCACCCCTCGCTCTGGCGGAGAGGGGATCGGACGAGTTGGAGACCAAGGTCGCGCGAGGACTCGCGGGGACTGTCAAAGGGGGATCCGGGTCCGACTACGATTCTGGCGTTCGGATCGGCCCCGGCCCCCGTGACCCCCCCTTTCGTCCTCCTGCCAAAGGCATCTAGCGCCGCGCCCTGGCGGCGACGGGACCGGACGGGTGTCAGAAGCTGGCGGTCGATGCAAAGACGTACGAGAGCTCCTTTGACCCCGCCCTTTAGAACGCAGCCTGTGAAGTGAGTCTTGCCGTTCCCTCTCAATGCCAAATAGAAAAGACGTGGCGATGGGCGACACTGACACGCTCTGTCCTTCACATCGCCGTCGTATGTCAGTCGTGCCGGCCGACGCCAACCGCGCTCGACCACGGGGCCCGTAGGGGCCTTGTTGCGTCGTAACCTCGCGGGGATGCAATCTCGCCGTACCGAACGACACTCGCACCATCTAGGCTCTTCCTTTGGTCCCGAGCTATCTGTCTCCCCTACGTCCTCGCTCGCTGAGCAGAAGGAGCAGGCCGCCCCCGCGTCTGCCCCTGCGTCTGTCTCTTCAGCATGTCCTTATTGCGCCCGCGCGCCAGCTGCCCAGAGGAGGGTAGCCCCGAGATGTCATGTCGCCGGGTTTCGCGAGTTCTATCCCGTACTAAGCCGTCCTTGTTTGCAATCCGTTGGTGCTGTCGACCGTCTCCCACGCCGTCGTTCCACGCAGCCTTGCTTGTCCGCGCGGCGCTGAGAGGAGCCAGAGATGCGCACCGCCCCAGAGCTTGGCTCACCCGCGCCTCTGGGCCCAGAGCTTCGATCTTGCACCCGCGCCGGACGGACAAAACAGCCTGAAGGGGAGCAGATATCATGCCCGCCACAGCAGCACCGAGAAGAGCCTCGTCCGGCAAGATGAGACCAGCTCGTGCCGGCCATCGGACGTGTCTCGTCGACACCGATGTTCTCGAGCTCAAGGCCTCTTTGCCGCTCGGCCGCGGCCATGTACACATACAGCGCTGTTCCGAGCAACCTGACCGGCTGGCATGCCCCGATGCCGACCCACTCGGCGCTTGTTGTTCGCCCCCACCATGCAGCCACCGCCTCGTGCGCCCGGAGTGGGGGTGTCTCAAGGCCGTCGACGCTCGTCGCGGAGCTCCGGCCACAAAGAGGGGGTAAGTGGGCCTTTGCAGCGCCACGGACAGGGAGGACCGACCACGCCCCCACCGTGAGCGGCTATCATCCCTCGCTCTCCTCTGCTCCCGGTCATGGCAACAGACGCGGCTGGCTCGGATGGCGTCGCTCGCTCGCCGCACAGGGCACCGAATCGGACGGTGGACGCCTCTTACTGACTCGCACTTCAATCGACCTTTGCGGCCCCACCTTCACGGCCCCACCCTCTACGGCCCCACCCCGCTGCGATCGGAGTGCCGTCAGCGTCGCAGGTACCGGCAAGAGATGTGGGCGTGACGCTGCTCGTTCCGCCGTGGCCCCTATCCAAGCGGCCCCCCTGACCCACCTCTGAGAGCCTTGCTGACGCTCCAAGATGACGATGGGCTCCCGGTTGATGGTCGGAAGGAACAGGCCGAGGAGGCGACCAGGTGCTAGGGCCGATGCCAAACGTGCCCGGTCCGCCTCCCTGCCCCTCTCTGTACGCACACCTATGTATATATACCGAGGCGCTTGGCAGCCTCGTCCCCCCCGTTCCTGCAAACGTACACCTCCCAACCGCCTCCCCATCCTAGCCACAGCCCAGACGGACCGACCACGCCATGAAGTACCTCTACCTGCTCGCCGCCGCCTTTCTGCCGCTGTCGCACGCCCTCACCTACCCGAGGCTCGACTGGAACCTGGGCGGCATCCTCGGCCACTGGACCGTCCGTTTCGACGGCGTCCATGCGCATCTGTGCACCAACGGCCTGGTGTGGAACATTGTCGACAACAATACGGGCAAGAACCAGGCCGTCAAGTGCACCGGCCTCCCCAACGCGGTGTGCAGCTGGATCGACGAGGAGCGCTGTAACGTCAACATCGAGCCGGACTGCGACTTCAACACGATCCCCAGGCGCGCCTGCGAGGTCTTTGTGATGGACTGGCCCGTCTACAAGTTCCACTTCGTGCCTCTCCTGCGCCAGACGGGCAAGTCGCTGTCGAGTGAGTCCCCCCGGCCGTTGCTGCTGCCCACTCCCATGGCTGCCGCTAACCTCGTCGTCGCTCTTGTACGTCGCTTTCCCCTGAAACTCGGCGGCTGCGTTCCTCGATCGGATGCAAACACGAAACAGTCCAGTCGCCCCACGATCACAAGTTCTACAACCATCCGATGGGACCTTGGATCCCAGAGTACAGCAGCTAGCGTGCGTCGACGCCCGCAGCAGAGCAGGTCGCTCAATGGCAGCACCGGCAGCAGTAGTAGTCTTTTCCGACTGCGGCGTGGGTCCTTGCGGCATACCAGCCAGGTCTTGGGCACGCGAGCAATCGTTGCTGCCCCTGCCTGCTTCCGCTCCCGCGCCGGGCCGGGCCGTCTGCCCGCACGCCTCGCCTCGCCACCTTCCGCTCCGTCTCTTGCTCCCCACCTCAACTCCCTTCCTTCCCCATCCCTCTGCCGCATGTTGTGGCTTCTCGCATCGCTTTTCGCGCGCCAATGGTGTCCTTGACGTTTCTCACGAATTAATGCACCATGTGAAAAATCGCTCGCACCTCGCACGCAGGAGGGACGTGGTACCACGAGCTGAAAGGGCTCCCGGGCGAGCAGTGAAGGTCTGCGCGCCGCATCGCATCGCATCGCGACGTGTCCTGTTCCATCCCGCCCTCGCTTGCCTCCCCCGCCCATCCTTCCTCTCCTGTCTTCCACTCACACGCACGCTGCCCACGTAAGCACGACGGGTCTCGAGAGGTGCGGCAGCTCCACGGGGCCAATTCGCACCGACATCGCGGCGGTCTGTAACGACGCAGATCAGGTGAATGAAGGGGATTCAGTGCACGTCGGTCGATGTCGATGCCACGGAAAGAAACGGCTCAGAAGCTTGTGCGTAGATGACGAAGAGCCAAGGCGAAATGGGGTGACGATGACGATGCTCGCAAAGGAAAGGATGGGCGGCGTAAGGCGTCGGATGCTGGTTGCTCGAAGGCGTCGGATGCTGGTTGCTCGAAAATGAGAGGGCGGTGCGGGGGCGGCGGCTGGGAACGACGGTAGTAATGAATGAAGATGATTCGGTAACGACGCGGTAGGGACGAGTGCGCCCGGCTGGCGAGTCGTGCCCGCGGACGCGCCTCTTCCGTCCGACTGACCCGTCAACCCGCCTGCGCTGCGCCGGTGCAAGAGACGACGGGCGACGTCGGGTCAATGGCAGAAGCCGCCGACGAGTCCGGAGACGGCGTTGCGCCAACGCCTGAACCCGCACCCGCACCCGCACCCGCACCAGCCGCCGGCTGGACCTGGAGTGCAGCCTGTGCGCTGTGCGAGGCTCCCGACGGTGCCGACATCCCACCGCGCATCCGCCCGCCAAACTTGTCGTTGCGCCGTTTGGCGTGCATCCGCGCCACGGCGCTCTGCACCGCCTCGGGCGCCGAGTTGATCGACGTCGCCGCCAGCGGTTCCGCAAGGCGGTTCGACATTGCCCCGCCCACGACCGGCGGTGGGCCCAGCGAAGACCGCTTCGTGGGCGAGGGAGCACGGCGTGGGCCAAGCCCATCCGAGACGCCGACGCTGCCAGAGCTTGCAGGTCGATGTGGCTGCCGGGCGCCCCTCGTCGAGCCGTTCCCGTGCGCCCGGCGGCCAGAAGTGCCAGCCTGCCCGCCGGCAGTCGTGGCGTGGCCAGA